TTGCCTCAGCTGAGTTGTTATAGATGTGCACCACTATGCATGTCCAGCTCTCAGAAAGTTGGAATATTGAGAAAGTTAAGAAGCCTCTAGTGTGGGCTTCAAAATCTTATAATTGTGATAAGTAAAGATGTCCTTGGTTTCCTGAAAGTTAGCAAGGAGGAGTCTAGGAAATCTATGCAGAGACAGATATAGCTCAGGTCTCCAATACTTGCTTCAGAAATTGTTTTGAAAGTTAGAATGCAATAAAAACTTCTCACCTGCTTATAGTAGGATCCAGGAAAGAAAAGTGAATAAGAAATTTCAGGAGATTCGAATCAGTCTAGCCATGGAAATTCTTCCATTCTCAGGTCAAGTGATTCTTGAAATTCTGGACCACCATGATTTGTTAAAGTTGTAAAGAACCAATGGCATTTTAGTTGAGTATTTTTTATATCATTTAATTATATTTGTTAAGAAGAATTATATGATGATGAAATGTGATAGAAATCATTGTCCAAAGTATATGTATGAAGACATGAATTGGTGTGAATATACTTTATATACAGAGATATGAAAAATTGTGCTCTAAATGTGTAATAAGAATTGTAAAGCATTCCACTGTCATGTATTTAAAAAATAAAATAAAAAAGAATTATATTCCATATTACTTTCACTAGTAAAGTTATCCATAGTTGATATTTTCATTGTTAGAACAATTGAGCTCTCAACATTCTTAAATCAAAATAAAAATGAAAAGAGAAGTGTGTTTTTAATTTTTTTGAATAGAAATGTTAATGTTTTTTCATTTGTTTTATTTTTTATTGATTTTTATATTTTTATATATTTATATATATTTATTATATATGAATATTTATATTAAATTAAATTTATATATTAAATATATATTTATATATATTATATATATATTTTTTCATATCTCTGGTTGTATACAAAGTATATTGACACCAATTTGTGTCTTCATAAAGTACTTTGGATAATGATGTCTATCGCTTTCCACCATCATTTCTAACCTCATGCCCCTTCCCTTCCCCTCCCACCCTTCTACCCTATCTAGAGTTCATCTATTCCTTCCACATTCTCCTTCCCTACCAAACTATGAATCAGACAAAAACATTAAGCATTTTTTTTGGGGGGGGATTGACTAACTTCACTTAGCATTATCTTTTCTAACGCCATCCATTTACATGCAAATGCCAGGATTTATTCTCTTATTGCTGAGTAATATTCCATTGTGTATATATGCCACATATTTTATCCATTCATCTACTGAAGGACGTCTAGTTTGGTTCCATAGTTTAGCTATTGTGAATTGTGCTGCTATAAACATTGATGTGGCTGTGTGCCTGTAGTATGCTGTTTTTAACTTCTTTGGGTATAGACCGAGGAGAGGGTTTAATTGAGTATTTTTATTGAAGTTATCTATTTCTTTTTTACTACTGTATATTCATTTGGTTTGTATGGAGTATGGAGAGTAGGAGCATGAGAATGATGACTCTGCTTTTCACTTTGCCAGACTATTGAATTCTCTGTGCTGCCCTGAATGGATTGTGCATCATCCAGAGAGATACAAATTTCAATGGATGCAGTCACTGAACAAGAGATTGTACTGTACTTCTCGGAGTAGTTATGTTTTCTTATGTGAGATGAGAAGTGTACATGAATACTCGAATGGCCAGAGGATAGTCTATCAGAAACTGTAAATTTTTTTCAGTGTTTATTCTTCTTCTACTTTCTGTTATTAATATATTCTACTTACTTTTACCTGGGTACAAATTATCTAACTATAGAGAATATATTATTAAGCCTCCCTTGAAAAATAGGCCTTATGTCATGACTCATTGCCAATATAGTAAGTGAAAATAATTTTTGGAATATTGGAATAATGTATTTAAAATAAACAATGCCAAAACATGGCAGATTTTTGGTACTCATCAATTACCAACTGCTCCAGGATATTGAACCTAATGAAAAGATGTGAGGCTGCATGATGGGGTGAGGGGTCATAAGAAAGCATTGGAATGCAACTCAAGAGTCAGTGACTGGGTGGTACTCAGAAATATTGGATTTTAGAATAAAAAGAAAAATAATAAGTAAAAACAATAATAATCAGCACTGAGGACATGATGCCTGAATTGGGTTAGGAGTACTCCTTGTGGGCTGGAAGAGAGAGTTCCTTCCTCCAGGAAGGCAGAGAGTGCTATTGGGTGAAGATGGAGTCTGAGCAGATAGAAAACTTGGGTTATGTGTGGTGAGTGACATGGGAGGATAGGTTTCTAACACTTCCCAGAGATTCAGATGGTGGATGGTGTTGTTTTTTTCAAAAATTCTTTAATGGATTTTTCTGTATTTTTTTTCTGATTTCTAATTTATTTCCTTCCTTTCTCCTTTTTCTTTCTCTTCTCATTTCTTTTTCTCTTAAATTTTAGCATTAAGTTTACTTTCATTAACGTCCCTTTTTAGAGTATTCCATGTCATTGCTTCCCTTTCTTTACTTTGATTAGAGTTGCAGAGATTGTGTTTAACAATTTTTTTTATTGTATGTTGAGATCTGGTTTGCATCTAACTTTTTACTGGTGATTATTCTCTCTTCTTAAAGTGGTGCTGGGGATTGAATTCAGCACTCTGAATACATGCAGTGGATCCTTTGATGCTGATACCTACCCAGAGTCTAGGACACAAGAAAAGCCCAGGAGCAGATGGATTTTTGCAGGACTTTACCACACCTTTAAAGAAGAGCTCACATCTAAGGTCTTCAAACTTTTCCATAAAACAAAAAGGAAGGGAATGCTTCAAAATTCTATTAAACCAGTACCAACATGATATTAAAACTGGATAATGTACCCCTCAAAGAAAACTGTAGACCAGTCATTAATGAACGTAGTCACTAAAATCCTTAGTAAGTTACCAGCACACTAAATTCAGCAACACATGAAAAAAGACCACACCCTGTTTTCAAATTGGTATCATTCTAGGAATACCAGGATGGTTCAACATATGAAAAAAAAACATAAATAGAATAAAGGATAAAAATGACAAGATCTCAAAAGATGTAGAAAAATCCTTCAAGAAAAAGCCTTCATGGTAAAAGTCCTAAAAGACTAGATAAAAGAATCTATATCAACATAATAAAGGTATTTTAGGACAAACCCAAAGCCAAACTCATACTGTATGGTTGTATGGTTAGGGGATATAATGGGATGTGGAAATGATGAAAATGTTATATACTTTTATGAATGCACTGATGAAATTTTTATTCTATATAATTAATATGCAGTAATAAAAAAACCTGATTGATTCACATTTGTTTTCCCTTTCAGACTTTTAGTCCTGTAACAAAATCCCAGATAGATTCTACAGATAAGGACTAAACCTAATTATTCAAAGTAGCAGATTTGTTACAGGGGCTTTGTTTGCTACATGACAATTTTTCCTTATTGTGATCAAAACACCATGTCAGAACAATCTAGAGGAGCAAAAGTTAGTTTTTAAAATCATTTCTTCCACTTGTATTATTCTTTCTTACCCCTCCTTTCCTCTTATATGTAATTTTGTATAACCCTGAGGATCAACTCCCATTTTCATGATTTACAGTAGAGAGGGTAGAGAGAGAAGAGGGGAGAGGAGGGGAGGGGGGATAGTAGAGAATAGGATAGACAGCTGAATACATCAGACACTAGAATGGCAATATGTAAATCAATGGAAGTGTAACTGATGTGATACAGCAATCTGTATACGGGGTAAAAATGGGAGTTCATAACCCAATTGAATCAAACTGTGAAATATGATATATTAAGAACTGTGTAATGTTTTGAACTACCAACAATAAAAAAAGTTAGTTTTTGAGCTCATAGTTTCAGAGATTAAACCTATGGTTGCACAACTCCATTCTTTTGGAACTGAGATGAAGCAGATCATAATGGAAGAGCAAGGTGGTGGAAAACTGCTCACAACATGGCAGACAGGAAGCAAAAAAAGAAGAAGGATCTGGGGGACATGTTGTAATTCCTCAGGGTACATCTCCAGTGACCCAATTTCTTTGAATAGCTCTTTTGGCCCAGAAGTACCACTCAGCAAACTGAACCTTTCAAATTAGGATGAACCTATAAGGTTACTGCTATCATTATCTAATCACATCACCTCGGAATCCCTGCATTCATACAGGATCATTGGATGGATATCTCATATCCAAACCATAACATATATGATCCAATAGAGAAGGGCCAACATTTGACCATTAACTTTTATGTGAGAAAGCAATGTGCTTTTAACTTGTTTAAAGCTTTCAAACATAGTCTTTTTACTTTTAAAGCTTATGCCTTAAACCCTACCTCCTCCTTGGGATTAACAAAATATTATCAATAGTCTCATTAAAATTTGACATTTCAGATGTATTAAAATTTATATTTGAAGCTCAATTATTCATGTTATTGAATACAATAAATTTATCTTCTGTTATAGGGACATAGCACATTATAACGGGGAAGAGTTTCTCTGTACTTTGATCTTTGTTAATAGCATCACCCTCTAGCAGTCCTTTGTTTACAAAACTAAGGAAAATATTGTCTAATAAGTATTTTTGTTTCTAATATTTTTCTATTTTATAGTAAGGATTTTATAGCTCTTTCATGCATAAATGCATGAAAAATATTTTTAAAATTTTAGAATTTATTGCATTACAATTAAAACAATCAAATCTTTATTAACAAACCAAGTTTGATTCCTAGCTCCCTATATAACATAGATATGTGTACATCCACAAGCACACAAAAATAACTTCTTTGTATATAATTTATTTCCTTTACTTTCAACTTCTTGATTTAATATATTTTTTCATTTATATCTTTCTTATTAAGACATTTTCTATGAAAACACTCTGATGATAGTAATGAGTTCTTACATTTATTTTTCTCAGTTTATTTGGACACTCATTCTTTAACAATTTTTCAAACTTTATTCTTTTCCAATAGTTTAGCTAAAAAAAAAACATGACAAATGAGAGATTCAGTTTTATTGACTCACTTTAATAGGCAACTTAAGAATATATCCTCCCTATGAGGCACAGCAGTGAAGTTCAAAGGTCCAAAGGAGATCTTGAAGAGGGTAGGCAAAGGCATGACAGAGCTAAAGTGAACAAGTGCTTTCACTGATGTAAGGAGAAGTGGATAACACACTGCCTGTCCGTTTCCTGGGTCTTGATATCTGGTAGTTTTTAACCAAAGTCAAGCTGAGATGTTAGAGCACTGAGTTAACCTAAAGGCTGAGGACAGAAAACAGGAGGAGGAGACTCTGTCAGTTACACATTGCTGAGGGCCTCTACTCCTGGGAGGCTTTTACCTTCCAGGAGCTCTAGACTGGCACCCCCTCCAGTGCTCACATGGCTGACTTTGTCTTCAGTGTTCCATTTGGCACAGCAAGTAGCAGTGTCCCCGCCCCCTATAATGGTGACACTACCCTGGGAGGTGGCTTTCACGATTTCGTCCATGAGGGCCTTGGTTCCCTTGGCAAAGGCTTCCCATTCAAAGACTCCCAAAGGACCATTCCAAACGATGAGCTTGGCTTGAGACACAACTTGAGCATTCTTTTTAATGCTCTCAGGGCCACAGTCCAAACCCATCCAGCCGTCGGGGATGCCAGATTCTATGGTGGCATTTCCAGTGTTGGCATGCTCATCGAACTTGTCAGCCGTGATAAAGTCCACGGGAAAGGTAATCTTCACACCGTTCTTTTCTGCTTTGGCCATGATCTCCTTGACAATCTTGGCTCCCTCTTCGTCGAAGAGGGAGGCACCAATCTCCATGTTGTGGAGTACCTTCAGGAAGGTAAAGGCCATCCCGCCCCCGATGATCATCTGGTTGACCTTGTCCAGCATGTTTTTGATGAGCTGGATCTTGTCTGCCACTTTGGCTCCACCCAGGATAGCCAGAAAGGGTCTCTCTGGGTTTTCCAAGGCTTTGGCAAAGTACTCCAGCTCCTTCTTCATGAGGAACCCGGCTGCCTTCTGGGGCAGATTCACTCCCACCATGGAGCTGTGAGCCCTGTGTGCAGTGCCAAAAGCATCATTGACATACACGTCCCCTAGCTTGGACAGGGATTGGCGAAAGGCTTCCACCTTCTCGGGCTCCGCCTTCACCTTGTTCCCAGAGGCATCCTGGCCCTTGCCTTCCTCCTCCAGGTGAAAGCGCAGGTTCTCCAGCAGGATCACTGAGCCGGCTTCGGGGCTGGCGCAGGCCTTCTCCACTTCTGGGCCCACACAGTCCTTGAGGAATGTCACGTCCCTGCCCAGCAAGGCTTTCAGCTCGCCAGCGACAGGCTCCAGGGAGTACTTCTCGGGCATGGGGACGCCATCGGGCCGGCCCAGGTGGCTCATCAGCACCACCGACTGGGCTCCATTGTCCAGGCAGAACGTGATGCTGGGCATGGCGGCCTTGATTCTCTGGTTGTTGGTAATCTGGTTCTTCTTCATGGGGACGTTGAAGTCCACTCTCATGATGACGCGCTTGCCTTTGACATCCAGTTTGTCCAAAGTCAGCTTCTTAGAAAGGGACATCTTGGCAGTAGGAAGGGCTAGTGGACACCTGGCTGTGGGAGCTGAAGGATGGTCTTAGGTGGGCGGCTGGGAGGCTTGTTGGTGGGGCTGCCTAACGTCTCCCCTCGGCCCGCCCCTTCCTGGTTCCTGAGTCTCCCACGTGGCAGCTGTGGGCCCGGGGAAGGCAATGCGGCCTGCCCATTGGTCCAGAGTCCTGCCAATCTGCGTTTAGAATGTGTTGACAGGTACAGATAGAAAATGCTAGGGAAGATGACTTAAAGGCATGGTGTGAGTTGGGTAAGTGAAGGACACAAATAAGAACGGTCCAGAAGTTTGTGAGTTCTTTTCCCCAAATTCCCTTTGACACTTAAACTTGTTCTTAACGAGAAAATAAATCAAATAATAATGTCATCCCCTCTTCCCCAACCCAGCATTACCCTGCCTCTTGTAAAATCTTATTCATACTGATACGTAAAACTCTCTGCAGTGATAAACAAAGGGAGAATATGAAATAATGGCTCAATTAAATCTCATTTATTCAAAGCACAAGAGTATAATTTTTTTCCTTGATTCACTAAATATTTTTGTTAAGGACTTAGGTTGGTGTTAGACTTCAGTGTACATGTTCTAGTGGTGTGATGATTTTGTGTTTTCATTATTTTGCTGTATCTTTCTCAGATTACCATAAAAGAATTCTTGGTGGCTTCTGTAGGAGATTCCCATAGCATCACAGCAAAGAGAATATCAGTGAAAATACTGAAAGCAATACTGACATTTTTTTCCAGGCATAAAATTAGGAGACTCCTTACCTATTCTATCTTCTCTACATCATTACATGTATAAGATAGAAATTGCGCTGAAAAGAGGCATAATTTTCTTAAGATTGAAAATTTTTATTAGAAATGAAAATATATGAGACAACTTTATTTTTTGAAATTAGAGCTTTATTGTTACACATTGTAGTTGGGTTCATCACCACAAAATCATACAAGCATGGAAATTTATTTCAGTTCATTTTCCTACCTTTTTCCCCTTCCCCATTTCCCTCTCATTTTTCCTCCCCTTTCCCCTTCTTTTTCTTTTGTTCTACTAGACTTTCTTTCACTCCTATTAATTTGTATTTGATTGATTCTTTATGTTATTCTATTCTTCCCTCCCCCTTTCCTTTATTTTACTCTAGCTTTCACATAAGAGAAAACATTCAAGCTTTTGAGTTTTTGAGTTTGGCTTATTTCACTTAGCATGATATTCTCCATTTCTATTCATTTGCTGATAAATGCCACAATTTCCTTCTTTTTTTTACAACTGAGTAATACTCCCGGTGTGTATGTGTGTGTGTGTGTGTGTGTGTGTGTGTGTGTGTGTGTGTGTGTCTATCACAATTTCTTAATCCATTCATCATTTGACAGGCACCAGGTTTATTCATGCAATCAAGTACATTATGAATTTACTTATTGTGATTTGTACTGCTACAAACATTGAGGTGCTGTATTGCTGTAGTATGCTGATTTTCGATCTTTTGGGAAAATGTGAAGGAGAGCGATAGCTAAGTCATGTAGTGGTTTATTCCTAGTTTTGAGGAATCTCCATACTGTTTCCAGAGTAGTTATACTAGTTTCCATTCCCACCAACAATGTAGAAGTGTTCTTTTCCCCCCCACAACTTTGCCAGCATTTATTGTTGTTTATAGTCTTAATCACTGCCATTCTGACTAGAGTGAGATGAAATCTTAGTGTAGTTTTGATTTGCATATCTCCAATTGCTAGAGAATTTGAACATTTTTCATATACTTTTTGCAATTTGTGTTTTTCCTTGAAGAAATCTCTGTTTAGTTATTTTGTCCATTTATTGATTGGGAGATATATATATATGTATGTGTGTGCGTGTGTATATATATGCATATATATTTGATGTTTTTTGAGTTCTTTTTATATTCTGGACATTAATACTCTATTGGAGGGATAGCTGGCCAAGATTTTCTCCCATTCTGTAGGTTCTCTCTTTATGGTCTTATTTCTTTTGCTGTACAGAAGCTTTGTAGTTTGATGACATCCCACATACTGATGCTTGCTTTTATTTCTTGTGCGTTGGGAGTATTGTTAAGGAAGTCAGTGCCCACACCTAAACAATGGAGTGTTGGTCCTGTGTTTTCTTCAAATTGTTCTAAAATTTCTGGTGTAATTTGTAAGTCTTTGATGCATTTGATTTGAGTTTTGTGTGGGGTGAGAGATGTGGATCTCATTTCATTTGTCTGCATGCAGCTATCCAGTTTTTCTACTACCATTTGTTTTAAAATCCTGTTTTTTCAATAAAATATATTTTGTCATCTTTGTCAACTATCAGATGTCTGTAGGTATGTGTTTTTATCTCTGTCTTCTATTCTGTTCCATTGGTCTTCATGTCAAATTTTTGCCAATGCCATGCTGTTTTTGTTAGTATAGCTCTGCAGTATACATTCAGATCAGGCATTGTGATACATCCTGCTTTGCTTTTCTTGCTTGGTATTAATTTGGTTAATATCAATCTCTTATTCTTGCAAATGAATTTAATTTTTTTCTAATTCTGTGAATAATGTCATTTGTACTTTGATTGGGATTGCATTAATTCTATATATTGCTTTTGATAGTATGGCCACTTTGGTAATATTGATTCTGCATATCCAAGAACATGGCTTGTTTTTTCATTTTCTAAGGTCTTCTTCAATTTCTTTCTTCAGTGTTCTATAATTTTCATCAACCCTTTTACCTCCTTGGTTAGATTAATTCCCAGGCTTTTGTTTGTTTGTTCATTTATCTGTTTGGGGTTTGTTTGCTTTTGTTTTTGAGATTATTGTGAAAGGGATGGTTTTCCTGATTTCTTCCTTGGTGAATCACTATTGGAGTATAGAAAAGCAATTCATTATGAAAATTGATCTTACACCTACTACTTTGCTGAACTCATTTATAAGCTCTAGGAGACTTCCAGTGGACTTTTGTTGTTGTTGGAGGTGGGGCAGATTTTTTAGATATAGAATCAGGTCATTGGCAAACAGAGATAGTTTGATTTCTTCTTTTTCTATTTGTATCCCTTTTATTTCCTTTACTTTCCTGATTGCTCTGTTAACGTTTCTTGGACCGTATTGAATTAGAGTGGGAAGAGTTGATAACCTTGTCTTTTTTTCTGATTTTAAAGGAAATGCTTTTGGATTATCTCCATTTAGTATATTGGCTTTTTTGTAAAAAATGGCCTTTAAAATATTGAGGTAAGTCTCTTTGATCCCTAGTTTTTTCAGTGTTTTAAGTATGAATGAGTGTTAAATTTCTCATAGTCCTTTTCTGCATCTATTGATATGATCATATAATTTGTGAAATAATTCTGTTTAAGTAGTGAATTACATTATTGATTTGCATATGTCAAAATAACCTTGCATGCCTGGAATAAAATCTATTTGATTATGATGTATTATCTTTTTGATTAAATTTAAGTATATGAATTTGTACATAAAATCTAACAAGCTAATTCTAGAAATTATATAGAGATATAAAGGGCCTAAAATATCCATAGTAGTCTTTCAAAAGAAGAAAATTTGGGTATCTTGTACTATTGATTTTGAGAAATTCAAGCTACAGTAATTAAGAGAAGATACAAGGAGCAGCACATAGATCAATGAAATATAATGAAGTCAGAAATAGAGAACCACTTAGACACTCATCTGATTTCCTAAAATGGTGCTGAAATGACCCAATAAGGAAAGAAAATTATTTTTGACAAATGAGGCTGGGATAGCTGGATATCCACATGAGAAAAAATTGAATCTTATATTAAAAACGTTGTCTTAAGATGGATCATAAGGGCTGGAGTTATAGCTCAGTTGATATAATGCTTGCCTCCCATGCTTAAGACCCTGGGTTTAACCCCTAGTTCCACAAAATAATTAAATAAATAAGTAAATAAATAAATAATAAATAATATAAGATGGATCATAAATCTATAGAAATTCACAAATCATGCAGAAGAAATTGTAGAATATATTTGTTTTGAAAGTAAGCAAATTTTATTGTACAGGCCACATCAAGTAATATTCATAAAATAAAAATGGAAAAATTAACTTCATTAAAATAAAATATTTTAATCAAAAGATACCATCAAGAAACACATAAACAAGTTATACACAGGGAGAAAGTATTAATAAATCATGAATATGATGACAGTGTGCTATTTGGTAAAAGTATGAGTTTAGCACTAAAATGATAAATGTTGTGCAACAGTTAATTTTAGCTACTGACTGAATTGACAGACTCATAATATTGATAATGCAACCTTTTAGGTGTGTCTGTGAGCATGTTTCTAGAGATGATTGGCATATGGAGCAGTAAACTGACAGGAAAAGACCTGACCTAAATGTGGGTGGCAAAAGACAATTGGCTGTGGGCCTGAAGGGACAAAAAGTGGAAGAAGAAGAAAACTTACCAGTGTGTGAAACCTTGATTTATCTTGGGTTTGTACATTTTTTCTTGTTTCTGACATTTTTTATAGATGTCATATGCCAATCTTGTAAGTGTTTGAACTTAGTCTCATGTTGAGAGTCACAGCCAAAGGGGCCCCAGCAAACTTCCAGCTGCCAGCAAACTTCCAGCTGCCAACTGATGATTGGCTCACAGCGGCCCCAGCAACATCTAGCTGATTGGCTCC